GTGGATAAAAGTAAGAAGAAATTAATATTTATTAATGTTTAATATTACAAGGATAGTTGACATAATTATTCTAGTATACATATATACTTCCACTATAGGCATTTAACATATTTCATGGACTGGTTGGTAGTTTATTCAGTAGTGGTTAGATACATTGGACTATAATCCATTTCTGTAGCTCAGATTCTGGAAAATATTACTGAGATTTTATTTTTATGCGGTGAATTCTGTCTCAATGTAGATGATAACCTTTAATAATCACATATATCTCTTGATCCATTAAGAAAAGGTTCGTGGTTGATGTTGATTGACATTATGAAACTAATTCTGAAAACATTTATTCAATATTTACCATGTAGCAGAAGGACACCATGCTTGGAAAAGTGGAGGATGTATGTTACACAGGAAGCCTCTCACTAAGATGGATTGGCAAAGTGATTGTAGCAATGGGTTCAAGTGTGTCAGAGATGGTGAGGATGGCACAGGATGTGGAAAGTTCCCAGATCCATTGTTCACATTGTTGCTATGAGTCCCTATTGACCTGAGGGCACATAACAGCCAATGTAGTAGAAAAGAGAGGGCTAGTGACTTAGAGGGTAAAGAGTCGTGCTGCCAGCACAAATGCAAGCCGTTCAAATCCACCAGCACCTCCACAGTAGAAAGATGGACAGTCTCCGTCTCCAAAAAGCCACTGAAGGGTCAGTTATGAATCAATTCCTATTTGATGGCACATAACTACAACAATGCATTAGACATCTTTTTTAATTACCCCAAAGAATAAAATACATCTATCTGTTAAGTATTGCTATGGGGATTTTTATATAGAATATCTCATTTTTGTCTGAAAAAAAAAAGCTCATAGGTCACTACTCTCTCTCTCTCCAGAAGAGAATACAAGTTACCTAACTTTGTCGAGTCCCTAGTTGTTAGTTACTAAGTGTGCTGACTTTGGTGTCAGATGGACCTGGATTTGACTCTGAATTTAGAGTTAATTACTGTAGCTCTTGAAACACCTGATGTGAGCTTTAAGCCTCAGGGTCTTAATTTGTAAAAAAGGTGTAAAAGTAACATCTACTACTTACAGCTTCTGTGGGTTTTTTCCTGAAATGCATTGATTTATTTAATCCCAGGAAAATATACTAAAGGTATTACCATTAATATTCCTGCTGTACATAGGAAGAGAATGGTATTTAAAGTTATTAACTTCCTAAAGGCCAAACAGCTACATAGTACTAAAGCTAGAACTCTTACCCAGACTGTTTATTCTTTTCTTTTTAAATTATTTTATTATTAATTTTTTTAAATTTCTGTTTTATTATTGTGTGTGTTTGTGTACCATCAAATCGTATCTGAATGGTACAGGAGGAGATTGCCCTTCCTACTCCAACAGAGCATCTGGTGGATTTGAACTGCGTACCTCTGGGATTGCAGTGAAGCTTCTTGCAACTAAGCCACCAGAGATCCCTCTGTTATTATTAATTTTAATGAAAGTTTACAGAGACTTTGGATTTCCATTCATTCATTATTGCACTTTTCTTCCTGCCCACCCCCCCAGTTCATTCTTCTCTTTGAAAAGTAAAATTCTTTCATTGTTATGCAATCCCCCCAAAACTAGCATAGTATCAGTCAAATAGAAATTATTATTAATAATATTATTGATAAAATTAACTTGCGCCAAAAGTATCAGTGAAGAAATTATTATTGTATTAACTATTAATTATTGTAAACTATTATAGTTTCAGGGGCTTATCCAGCATCAACAGCTCCAGAAAATACAGATTTCATTTAGGTC